CCATCACAGGGACACCTGGACAGGTCTCCAGTCCATCACAGGGACACTTAGGGACAATTTAGAGTTACCAATCAGTCTAACCTGCATGTTTTTGGTCTGTGGGAGAAAACTGGAGTACCTGGAGAAAACCATGCAGCACCGAGAGAACATGCAGACTCCACACTGAAAGACCCCGGACAAGGATTTCAACCGGCGACCTTCTCGCTGAGAGGCAGCAGCTCTACCAACTGATCCACCGTGCTGCCCACCACTCCCATCGTTTCAGAAATGATACTTTTAAGCAAGATAAAAACTAGATAAAAACTAGAAAGCATGGTTTCTTCAAATGACAGCCGTGGTCCATTCATAATTATATTTTTATTTTTCAGCTGCTGCTTCTTCAGAGGTCACCACAGAGAACCAAGTCGAGTAGACTTGCCGGATGTTTTTACTCCAGATGTCCTTCCTGATGAAACCACAGAGCGCTGAGCTACCACAGCCCTCTGTGTGGAGCAGAGAGCTGCAGGTGGTGGGGGTTCAGGGCCTTGCTCAAGGGCCCAGAGTGGGGCAGATGAGTGTGGATTTTAATTGAAGACCTTGTTGCTAGAGGAACCGTCTAAGATCATTTATGAGCTGACAGTGAGTTCATATTCAGCTCCAATCACTCGAAGCTTTAGCCACTGGGCAGAAATATTGTCCCATTGCCTTCTGTGGTCAGGAGAGAAGAGATGAGAACATGGAGATGTTTCCTCCTGTCCAGATGGACCACTCTGGTAGTCTTCTGCTCGTGTGTGGTGAGCTCAGAAGATCTGAGGGCAGCTGCTCATGAGCTCCAGCAGTAATGACTCCTGATGGAGAAGTGGCAGCTCACTGTGTGCTCATTAGGGTCTGTGTCCGTCTTTGTTAGCAAAATATCTCATGATCCAAAGTGAAGACATAAAAGACATCATGTTGGTTGGCCTTCAGGCTCTTGTAAAAGATCTGTGACCTCAGTGGGATTTACCTGGTTAGATAAAGGTTAACAATAAATAATTACATTTTACATAATTAGATTTCAGTTTTACACATCTTGTTTTATATTTTGTATTTTGTATTTTATACTTTGTATTTTGTATTTTATACTTTGTATTTTGTATTTTTTATTTTATATTTTGTATTTTATACTTTGTATTTTATACTTTGTATTTTATATTTTGTATTTTATATTTTGTATTTTATACTTTGTATTTTATACTTTGTATTTT